TTGGAGGTGAAATCTAAATTGTTTCAAATTCTTTACGATGGAATCTCAATTCTTGAGCGAGCGATTTCGATGCTCTACGGTATTTTACTAAATTTCGGATTACTTCAGCATTCCTTTCGGATCCTCTTTAGAACATAAATAAACATTCTTCGTGATATTATATTTTCCTCGTTATTTTATCAAAATTTTCACTTTTAAACAAGCTGAGGCCTTAAATCGGAGTTGCTTTCGTGAAAGCGAAGATTGTTCAAGCACGAATCGAAGTTAGATCGAAGCAATGGGTTAAACCGGAGCAAAGGATTGATTCTATTTATACACAACTGTGGTATATCGTTTCGGTGTGAACGATTTTAGTTGTGGTTATTCGATTCATGTAATTATATTGTTTGAAAATATTTCATAACCACAATGCGTTTTTATTTGAGGTGTTTATTTAATCGCAAACGTCTTTTTTAATCGAATCTCAGTCTTCTAACGAACCTAAGCTTCACCTTACAGTTTGTAATTACTGAGCAATATTACATCATCGCGCTCTCCAACAATTCTCCGGTTGTATTTCCAGCCTTTTATGTTTTTAGGTGTTTCTTGGACTGACTTGAAGTTATATTTTATTTGATATGATCCTGTTTATTGTATTTTAGTTGATTGACCGATCTCGTGCATATTCAGGTTCATTGATTGCANTCCACATGGATTTTTTGCAGAAGAAACGTCCGATTTTGTGGAATGTCGATCATTAAGTTGGTTCACTTTATTTTTACATTTTGCATATCAATCAGTGATTTCTTCACATATTTTTTTTGCTTTTCCACCAGGTTTTGTTCGTTTGCTTTTTTGGATGGTTAGCGTTGGATATTGATATGATGATTACGATCAAAACAACTATCCTACTCTCGTCTGAATGCGTTAATCATCATTGGCCTCTTTTCAGTTCAGTATCTGTCGCCTTCGAAGCGGGCAGGAGCAGTGCACTTTTAGGGTAGTAATAAAGTGGCTAAAGTACATTTGCTTTTCGCTCACTTGTTACACATCATGGTCAGAACACGTGAATGTCACCGAGGATGAAGACTGAATCGAAGTGTTTTGACTTTTAATTGGAAATCACTTGTATCCTTCAAGTTCCGTAATTGTTCATTTAAATATCAAGCGAGAAAGAATACAAGCAAATTTTATTGTTTAATTTTCACTTTGACATCAGATTATTCTGTTGTTATCACTCCATATTCATGAATTACGGCTTCTCACATAAGCCCTTATCGGCCACGCATTTTAATCCCGGATAAGTGGTGCAGTCTGAATCTTGCTGGCATGGCTCACCAACTTCGTACATCACTGACTCGCTCTCATTCTATATCTATATTTTTTATAATCCGACGTTCGGACATCGCTAAATGTACGCTTAGGTGATAATTGTGTCATCCAGGACGGCGGAGGAGGAAGGGATGGCAGTTCTTTCACAATCCATATTTGCCTTCTCTATGGCAGGTAACTGCATCGGCTGCATCGTAGTACAGTGGAGGTGGCGTACGTTTTCGTGTGGCAGGACAGGGTTTGACAGGTGATTTTGAAACTGTGACGTTTTAATTCTGAATTTTATTTCAGGTCCNGCCTTGAGTTTATGATGGTTTCTCGCGAATCTATTTTGTGTAGCACGTAACTGCTTATAGCAGTTACGTGCTACAAAAAATAAATTATGGCAATGCAAGCACATTGTTTGATTAAAACGTAAATGGAGATAGCTTAATGCCGTCTGGCATATTCCCCTTCTCCCTCTCCCCTACAGGTTAGCCTGTTCTCATTTTTTTATTGTCGACTTCGAACGATTTAATTCGCGAATTAAAGTACAGAAGCTTACTGGGTACTCAATCAGATACCATATATTCACATGGAGTTGATGAATGTATTGTATAATCTCATTGAGTTGGACTGGTCAAATACATCAATACTACGACATTTATGGATTAATTTTAACACGGTTATGTACATAAACAAGAATGCTGAATGATAAGAAAACCTGGTGTCGATTGATAATGTACAATATTCGGTGATAATCTTATCTTGAATAGCATCACAATAACTGAATCAGTAAAATATGTCGTAACAAGAGTAATAAGATAAGTTCTCAAAATAAATTAATTGTATCAATAATATTATGATGATGAAAGCGAACGAATAAGTCAAGAGCAAACATAATAATATCCCGTCTTTTGTTGAACATGATTAAAGAAGATAACAGCATCGATGGATTGATAATTATAAACAATAGGCAATATAAATTAATTTTTTGAAAGAAGATGCGTCAAAGATAAACCAAAGTACAATTGCGTTTTTTGCTTGTTTTGAGATAGACCATAATCACAGCTCGAATAGAAGAAAAATCCGTCGAACGTACGATTTGCTCGAATAATAACAAAAATACCCATAATCTCAATTAATAAAGAATACTCGATTTTCTGTATGATTACTTAAAATCAGTGGAAGAGAGGACAAACTTAAGAGAGCAACAATACGATGATGATATTCATTCAAGAGAAGCAAAGGGTTTCTATAGGAAAAATAGAAAACGAACTGAAAAGTTTGATTGATAAAGCTGATGAGGAATGATGATGAAGGGGTGAATAAAGATTTTGAGGAAATGGCGAATGAATTCGATTTGGCAAAATTCAGCCGGAAAGGTGCTTCACTTTAATGAATAATAGTAAAGAACAATGTTCGAATTCCAGTAGCAAATCATTCAATTAATAAATTCAAACTGAATGTTCTGTTATGAGAGTATGAATTTTAACCTTTCTCAAGAAAAAAAGAGAACATATAAAACGATCGAAACCGATCCATCAGTTTCTGCGCTCAGTCATAAATGAAGCTGAAATTTTGGTGAACTCTCTCTTAAAAATTTCAACAACTCTCTTCATACCGGATGATCATAATGGCGATAGTAATCATGGAAGTCATCAGACAATATAAACAAACAATACCACAGAACAGTACGAAGAATTGACCGGAATTTTGAGATAAACTACTAAATGTTTTCGGCCATTCAATTAATATTCACAATAAGTAGTCGATCCAATTCATTAAAAAAATTTGAATTGAAATAGAAACGATTCACAGCGATGTTTTGAAAAGAAACAGCATCAGTTACAGAAGTATGCATTCATTTCATACTTATATACACGCTTTACAAATAACACTAGACTTTAAAACTCTATACAGCTATAAACATAATAACACAATTTAATAAACACTGCGTGCAAAATGAGTGACGAGAAGTACCCGAATCGCTTTGTTGTTCACCTTTTACAACTACTAAATATTGGCAATTTTTAGGTGAATAGAATTTTTTCCGGGCGAAAACGGAACACTTAATCAAAAATGACGACAATCTTGGGTCGCATAAAGATGAATCAAAATGCGATCAAACACTCAGAGCGATTGAGACGTTTCGTCAATTTTGCAACCATGTCAAACGGTGAGTAATCATGATTCGTTGATGGAAGATGAAAAATGAAATTAACTCTTGAATTTTTCGTTGATATGTGGGAATCACAAATCTACAAAATTAGGCCACGACTGATCACGATAATCGGTAATTGAGGACATTTTTTCTCAGCGAAATCGGATTACAAACCACTTTTTTTTACTTCCAACAAAATTAATTTTTATTGTGAACATCGCTATGTCTGAACTTCTGAGTTGTTGAGTGTTGCTCAGTTCATCCAATTATCAATTTCTGAAAAAAAAACGTTTTCGGAAGTGTTTTAATGGGTTTCTGGAAGCAAAATAATAATTGAAATAATTGGTATAAAACGCAAATCATCTCTCTTTTTTTCAGTTTCATCGTTCTATTTGTCGATTAAAATCCACTGATAATTGTAAGTTTAAAGGAAGATACATCTCACCAAAATCAGGTGGAAACTTACGCATGGGACGGATTTTTTGCGTGGAACTTCGGAAGATTTGGCTGGTTGTGGCGCTACTTTCCCTTCCACGATTGTTGGGGTTCTTCGCGAGAAACGATTATTTGGACCGAAGAACATTTCCGTAAAGCTAAATCGACGTGGTCGAATTGAGCTGAAATATTATTATAAAATTTTTATTCGATTGAAACTCCACATCGGATACTTTTCAATTTCAATGAAATTCTCTTGGCATTTGCAGAAATTTCTTCCAATTATCATATAAATAATTGCTCGTCTAACGGAATTCTAANTGATTTCCCATTATTATGTATTCTAAACGTACATCCATATTGCATTTTCCATTACATTAATGATTCTTTTCCTTTATATTCATTTACATCCGGACTATTGAAGGCATTCAAGAGAATGCTTTATTCTCATAATTCAATATAATAGCATGATTCAATATTAGCTGGATCAAATGATTATTTGGACAAGAAGAACGAGGTGGAACATGAAACAGGAAAGGAATGAATGAACGCAACATCATGCACATGAACCATCAACAAATTCAAGAACTCACTCGGGTGTGAGCGATTCTGAGAATGACACACAACGACGGCGTTCATCAACGTTCTCCGAATCAATGGACTCTGTTGAACTGCCTGAAGGAAGATTTCTTCTTCTTGCTGTGTATACTGATCAGAGAAAATGCGTTTTCTTCCGTTTTTCTATGAGAAACGTCTTTTCAGGAGGAATTCTTGAAAGCCGAAGTTTAAATGATATGTTTCACATTGTTAATATCATTTCAAACGAATATGTAAATATCACAAATGTAATGTCAAAATCGTTAGTGAATAACTTTCAGTGCTTACGTGAGTGTCGTCCAACCCAAAGAACATCTGAACTGGAATCTGGACCGATCTGAAAAAGAAAACNACAAATGTCAGCTGTTGTGTTCACGCCAAAAAGCAATTACAAACAAAACCAAAACGCGTGCTTCCTACGATATCAAAATCGAATGAACTGATGAGTTTCGTTTTTTTTTCCTTCTCTGTATTTCCGTCTATTGATCTATTGATGGCTCAGAAATGATTTTTTTTAACAGAAACCATTCGCACACAGAAGTTATGCTCAAAATTTTTTAAAGAAATGTTGAAGAATATATTGAGAAATATTGAAGTTTTCTCAAAATGTTATAAGAATTGCATCCTACTAATGATGCTGCTGCTGATGATGATGTGGTTGATGGAATAAAAAGAAAATGAAAGATGATTTCATGAAAAGTAAAAGCTTACTGGAACAGTTTTATCAATTACGTCGGGCAGTTGCTTTGAAATAGGTGTAACGACTGCAGTCAGAGTGCTTGCGAAGTCATTAACAGCCGGTGCTTTCGACATGATAATCGAAGGAATCTGCAAAAATATTTTCATAAATAAACATGTTCCCTATATATGTATCACATATTTGATGTCATCACTTCTATTGCTCCATTAATGAAGATTTTGTTGAGTAGACGAAAACATTCTGTGGAATTTTTGAGCAAATCTTCGGAAATTCTCTCACAAACAGCAATAACCATTCACGGTCATAAATGCTAAAAGATCAATGAAATTTACGAGACAGTCAATTGGAATACCACTGAGTCTCTTGTTGACATACATTTCAGAAAAACGTTAAGAAATATGCGCCTAACAAATCAATCAGCTAGATGAATGAACAGTTATGAGCTTCGTCTACCTAATGTCATTTTATCGAATTCAAATAATAGCCTCGAGCGGATGACTGCTTAACTAGTAAATTCGATGAATCGAGAGAGCGACTAAACATGCAAAGCAATTCACCACGATATCGATCGCAATAGGCGGTGACAATTGTGAGTGGACACTAGCGCTAGCGCTGGTGGCCTTACCACCGTTAATCTGAGAAGATGGTGGTGGTGGTGGTGGTGGTGACGGTGATGATGGTGGTGTGAATAGAATCACTATCTCCTCCTTTGCTCGAGGCGTCATTGTGCGACTAGAACTAGAGCTG